TCAGAGTGGAGTCGTCATTGGGGGTGTAACGAGAGACTTCTCCCATTTATTATCCCATAAAGTCTTCAATCCAAAAAGGCTGGGGAAAACGTCGATGTAAGATGTCTCAGCTTACTCAGGCAATCTGGGAAGTTAGGAGTAAAGCAGGACTTCAATCTTTGCTCAGTCATATTAAGTAGTTTTTTGACAACACTGTTCCAACTTTCCTATGTGATCTGGAAATAAATATGGACTCCCCGGTATATTTCCTTTAATATGTTCGTAGCACAGTCATCTCGGACGGCATGCCGCTGGCAAGCGCAAAACCCCACAAGAATACTCATCATTGGCTCAAGGACAAAGAGTAGGACAACAACGACACTTATAAGCGTATATACGAAAACTTCAGATGTTAGGCGACCTTCACAGCAAGAACAGACTTCTAGCCAGCCAGAGTCTAACTCCCGAGAAAGTTGCTGACTCTTTATGCGATACAAATTTTGGAATTTCATAAAGCCGTATTTTAAGTGTTGATACTGCAGACAGCGCATAATTTACGACTTAAGTCGGATGCTTCATACAGTATTGAGAAGGATATTCTGCAAATTATCCTGACCAGATATCTGTAACCTGACATATGCCACTTTATTAAAATAAAACACTCACGCGTGCTTTGAAATAGCGGAAAATGCGCAACTGCTCTATTTTAAATATTCTTTGTTATCTATTTTTCTAAAAAACGGGAATATAGCAACAAGGTTTCTGTGGCAATCTTGTTCGTAAATTAGAAAGAAATTAGATCTTTTGACGCATATCATGCGTTAGAAGAATATCGATCGAATAAAGTCCAAATCAACTACGTCTCTGCAACGTAGAAATACAACATATTTTCAGACTGTAAAAGCTGCAATTCAGCACAAATGGGTACTGTATTTTCCAACTTACCATTCTAGATCCAGCATTTTCAGGTTTTCATGCATTTGACATAGGAGAAACCAGCACTGTTAGAATCGGAATTCCATTGTTGGAGATGCTGCGGGTTTCGCGGATAACCATTTTGTTTGACAATCCACCTGGTAGCACAGAAGCTGGACATAAATGTCAAATTCACATTGACCTAAATGCGAAAGACTCGACGTCTCGGTGGGATTCGAACCCGCAACATGAAGGGGAAGGCTTTAGTACAGCCAACGCTCTAGCCACCTGAGCTACGAGACCCCAGTGGAAGACGTGAGTTCAATCGATTTTTTTCAAAATTCTGCCAAAGCATCTACTGACTACGTGAGTTCGGTAGTCATCTGGTGGATTCTAGGTGGATTCCTTAGAAAATCCCGCTTCGGTATTCAGCTTACTGTAACAGATTTAGTGGACCCAGACGTTGCAGAAGGTTGGGCGGGTAACTTGACCTAAATGTGATCCAACTCATGTCTCCCAGCGGGGCCTCGTAGCTCACGTTGCTAGAACGTTGACTGTACTAACACCTTTTCCTTGCTGTCGTCGGTTCGAATCCCACCCCGGCGCCGAGTTTTTCACAGCTGAGTCAGCATGAAATGGCACTTTTTTAACTTTAATAATGAACATTAACCGAGGTCTGGTATTGCGGTAGTCTGTGTTGTTAAAAAACCATGTCCAGTCTTGGCATTGGTGCCGTAAAGATGAGCAACGACAGTGAATTCCACACAAAAGGACAGCTGACACTGCCAAGACCATTAGAAAATTGTCCAGTCAGGCACCACGCCGACACATTTGTGTCTAGTCGGATTGAGGTCCGTTAAATTACGCGACTGTTCCACAGAGCGTGCAACGGTTTAAACGGTAAGAGAGGAGACTAGGAAATCCCCACTCCGTGAACTTTGTGCTGTTTTGCGGGCCTGTTAGGATTAGTACTAAAGTCGCGGTTGGGGTAATGTTCAGGGCCAGATGTGTGGTTAAATATATGGTCAGGGTTGAGGCCTTGGCTACTACTGTTGTCAGGATTTGAGCCAGGACACGGGAGTAGTTAGTTTTCTTAGAATTTAGTACAGGGTCACCTGACTTACCCGGGACAACTCCTATTCCCGAGTCTTATTGGCTGAACTGTCTGCCTAAAGCCGTACAAAATGGAAACCTGATACACAACACCTGGGATCCTCCCAAAATACTTGATGTTCGCAAGGGCCATCAAAGGTTCACAAAACGCGAAGAATGAGATTGTGATGCTTCCTGACGTTTCCGGTGGTTTTTGACATTTTCATGTGGGCGATCGAACTTAGAAGGAATACTAGAAAGTCATGTGCAGACTGTACTGGTTAGTTACTGATACGCTTCAAATTATCCAGTCTTAAATGTCAGAACGGAAGCATCCCATATATGAGCAAACGGTATTTCGTTTGGCACAACAGCGAAAATAGCTAGCTGACATTTGTTGGATTCAAAACCACGACAGGAAAGCCAGTGCTTGAGTACAGCCAGCATTCTAGCCACCCGAACTACGAGTGCCAGATCGGGAGCCGTGAGTTTAATCACGGCATTTGATTGTACAGCAGACTAGTCGAGGTCTCCACTACCAAGAAATGAGTGATGTAGTGCAAATAACATTTCACGATCCGACGTTATGTGTGCCGGAGCACTGAACTCAATGCCTGGATGGGAGACCGATGACTGCTGAAATGTCGGGTCTGCCCACCTCGTCATCAATGGCCTCCGATCCTTCCTGTTTTATAATTTGTTTTGCTACCTGGCTGTTTAGGATTGCTGCGGACAAGATCTCTAGCTCACGGCGACATCATCTGAACTCCATGCTATAACTAGGTCAAATTTATTTACGCAAACCACTTTTTAATACGAACTGTTTATTTGTCAACTGCTACGTACACGTACACCATGATTTGGAGGATGGCTGTTAAAATTCAGATTGTTCATCTTTTAAATAAGTTAAAATAGGTTCGATAAACACATACGGATAGCTAGCACTCAGGAGACTACATGGACAAGTCTAAAGGAAGTATTTTGATGCAGTTCTAAAGAAAAAATATCCGGTTGCATGAAGCGTTTGGCGCATATTATGTTATCTCCTGAAAATTGGTGCTGAGTCCACCGACAAGCGTTGATTGACTGCGTAGTAGTAGTTACCGCGACAAACAGCTCGTTACTCACGACGATGTCGACCCTGTCGCATTGGAAGATGTGCCTGAACTCTGTCGGCGAAGGCCGCTGCCTAAAATTTTATGTCATTCTTCCTTAGTACCGAGGCGTGTCCGAACATTCACTTAGGGGGGACGGTGTCTTCGTTTTTTTCAGCTGTGAATGTCTAGGCCACACCTGTACCTGATACAGTCAGCCGCTCGAGACAGCGGGACTGCCGCTCTCAATATCTGGCCCGTTAGGATCGATTCCAGTCTGCGGAAAACCGCAAATTCAAGTAGTGGGAGGAGACTGCTGAAGGCATTCGAGATCTTGACGCGCAGTGCGCTTTGGTCACTTTTTAACTCACTATAGTTTTCAGTTTACGAAGTAACGGGGATGGCCATTAATAATGAACAGTATTCAGGGCCATTGCAAATCAATGGTGACCTCTTATACCTCACTGCACTACGTCTCGATACACCAACAAAACCCGGATCCTCAATCACCTTCAAAAATACGGGCTTTGCTGAAGCGTACAGTCTGATAATTCCCGCGTCCACTTTTCTCTTCAAGTCAGTTGGAAGACTATCCACTCGTCAGGGACCTTCACCGACGTCAATGTCGGTCAATGTCCCCATCATTAAATGCCCAACTCAAGAACCTCGGTGTTGATTTACGAGCCGTTTTACAAAACGGTCTAGTTAGGTTAGTTTATCCAAAGAAAATATTTTGAGGCATCAGGATAATCTAACTCTGGCAATAATCACTGCGTGAGTGATTCGAATTCCCCTCCCGAAAATCAATCACTTCATAGATAAAACTTGGTTTTCCTAGGAGAAATAAACACGTTGGTCACTGGATATCGAATTTTTGTGCGAGCGTTCTTCTTTCTGAGATTTGACATTTCAAATTGGTTCCGTTTTTTTATTTAAAATTGTGTTTATTTCCGTTTATAAAGAAATCTGGGTCTTTAGTTTCCTTACGATCTCTCGTCTTGGCATTTATTATCCCTGGTTAAATTTCCCTACTGCTCTTTGTACACTGATTACGTCAGAGGTCGTCCGAAACAATCCGGATATCCTTTTGGGTACCTTTTTATTTACTTAAACATATTTATTCTCATGCAAAAGTTTCAAAATCGGCATACCGCATTTTTGAAAGTAACGCAATCCTTTTACTCTATTACTAATATTTGAGGTGAACCCTCCCCTCCAAGGCAAGCATAACGGATGAATTTTTAAATATTTTAAAGGAACTGTAACTGAGCTTTATTAAGCAAGCGACCCTAGTGTAAGTGCAATTCCTGTGAACATCATCGTCTTCTAAATAACATCACAAGCACCACCAACATACAGCTCGTCCTACTGATGCGACATCGAGTATTTTTATGAGACCACAGGGCAGAACAAAATAAAGCAGTTTGTCCATCTGTTAATTTTAGAGACGCCCGGTCATCAAACGTGTTTACGACAGAGGGCAACTCAGACAAGGCGACAGTGAAACGCACCGACAGGATTGCATGTTGGCGGACAAAGGGGGTGGTAGGAATGGCGTGGTCCATGGCACTAGGCATCCTCAGGAGCAAAGATGTAGCCGATTACGTAGACGGCGTTTGCAGACAAGACATGCTTATTCAAGGAAGATAAAGATAAAGGGGATGGAAAAACAAGTAGACGGGGTTTTTAGACTGAGGTACAAAGGCTAAAGATATGCACAAAATAATCCTTTAAAATAAACTGACCAGTTAGAATGGTTAGACGTCATGGAACCACAGACATCCCTAACCCATCATTACCTTCTCGTATGCTCTGCCAGTATATATATATATATATATATATATGTTTACATACATGTGTATGTGAATGTGTGCAAAGTGTGCAACTGGACAGAAGTCGACAGCAGTCAAAAACAGCAAAATGGAAAAAGTATACTGGAAGTGTCCTGACACTCTGTCACCAAAAGATGCACTTTCTGTCATCAGTGCCCTCATGAGTGGTTTCAGCCTGATGCTAAATCTTGGTTTGCTGATTCTCCTCTTCTTTTTAAAAGGTAGATCAAGGATATTTCTGTTCCAGCTACGTACCCTGAATGCCTCTGCGGCCCTCTACAGTTTCATTAGAACCTGTGACGGTGTTATACCCCGACGACTATATTACATCAATCCTATCTTCGCCCCGATTATGTGCCACATATGGACCAGCAGATATCTCGCTGCCGTCACTTACACATTTGCGGTCCTAATCCTGAATTTCACAGTTGGAAACAGAGCAATTCAGATTGTCTGCAGATATCAGCACTCATTCTCTACCTCGCTGTTCGCCGATCTCGCCTACTTGGGTGGAATGGGCCTAACGAGCATCATCTGTATTATTCCCCGAGTATTTATAATGCACTGGGATGGCAAATATTGTCTTTGTCGTGATACAAACTTGTCCTACGAAGCACTTGTGTTTATCTACAGTGAGGTATTTGTTCGCTTTGGTCTGACTGCAATTATCAGTGTCACCATCCTGAGCATCTCCTGTTACAAAATTATCGACTGGGTGCGCAACACGCCAGCAGACCAGCTTTCGGACACCTGGAACACTCTGACTCTTCCTGGCACCACAGAGGAGCAGCTGGAGGCCTTCAGCCGACCCCAGGGTTGGTTGACGGCATCTCTCTGTACTGTACCGCTGTCGGTTATTTTTCTAACAGTCAGCATCTACGACACAGGGCATAAATTTATATGTGCTGTGGGATTGTGCACAATAGTGGCCACCTCTCCATTCTACGTGCTGGATCGCGTTTTACTTGAGCTTAATCTAATCGTCCTACCTATCGTCATTATTATCTACATTCCGGTACTGCGGGAGCTTGCTATGCGTTCCTGCCTACGACTCATCTCGCTCTGTGTGAGGTCATGGAATGCGCCGATCGATGAACAGCTGGACAGCCGGATTCCCTAGAAGGCCTTTGCAGAACGAAACGGAAATTTACTACTAAACACTCACGTAGGCTGAAAGACAGACTGTTCTTTTACAGCAATAAACAAATGTGTAGGCCCATTGCGGCCACATGCGCCTTTTTGTCAAATATGTACCAGTACTTCAGGCTGCGGACTGAACTTTCGGCTGGTAAAACGGGTGAAACGTTTCCATTTGGCAGTGGTTTGACAAATTTTTATTCGATATGGAGAAGAGCGAACACGATGACCCGAATTGGCTTACAGTAGGTGGGCTAACTCATGAAATGTCAGCCGAAATTTCGAAATGCGTTCTCGTTTCGAAAAGATTAATTAAGTAGGGTTGTAAAGCCAATCAGTTTGTAGTAAAATTCTAATAATAATCCAGTTACCTCAGGGTATAGGCTTTTGAATGCATCGCTCTTCGACTGCGTGCAAGAACTACGCCCTGCAAAAATGACTACTTAAGTAGCATGCATTTTTCTCATCGATTTTCGATGCCCCCAAAATTTCAATTATATTTAATAGAAAGCATGCATAAAAATATGCAATTTTTGCTTATTCGGTAGGAAATTTTGTCTTCTTTCAGCTTTATACTCGAACGCAGGGTATAATTTGGTTTTTAAAAAGTTTCTTATTGCGAGATTTTTTTATACCGTGAAATGGCCGTTCATAAAACTTCATTTACTAATGTACCTTGTAAAGTTAACAATATGACTCAAATCCTCCGCCACATTTTATAAAACCCATATGGTCATTTCTTAATACTGTAGAGAAAAGTATGGTTTTCCATACGCAGAAAATACGCGGCCTGTAGTTCGGAAACCCTGAATGCGAGCGTTACCGCAAGACAGGTTCAAAATTATTCGGGAATTGAAAGGTTTTTAAAAACCGAGTTATATATTTTTCTAAAGGATAAAATTATGAGAAGACGTAAATGTCTACTGAACGAGTGAAATAATGAATATCTTTATGCATATTCTCTATGAAAGATAATTGGATTATAAGGGTATCGAAGATCACTGGAAAAATTGTACGCTACTTAAGTAGTCATTTTTTGCAGGGTATTGTTCTTGTATGCAGTCAAAGAGCGGTTCATTCGAAAGCTGGCACCCTGAGGTAACTGGCTTATTATGGAATAATGCTGCAGGATGACCAGATTTACAACTCTACTTAATTAGTCCTTTCGAAACGAAAACGAATTTCGAAATTTTGGCTGAAATTTCATGAGTTGGCCCATCTACTCTATCTGCTGGGGGTAAAGTCGAGATAGTGCTTTTCACCGCTTTACTGACGTTTACTCTGAGTTTGCTTTTTATTTCATTACTTTGATAATGCAATCCTTAGTCCATCTGTGGAAAAGAACAGTAGTTCAGTTTGCCTTAAATGGACTTTTATTTTCGGACCATCGAACAATCAAACACTCACCGCCTCCAGTAGCGCTGTGTTGATATTGGTTCCTACACCGAAGGTCTTCCTGTGGATAATCATCGTTAGAATGTCTTCGTGATTCTCACGCCCTCCAGATGACTGGGAAGTCTATGCGCATTGGCAATACGATAAAAAGTGCCAGGGCCAGTTGTAAGCGGAGTACATCACGGCTCTATGTTTGGACCGTCATTGATTTCAATTTATGTCAGTGTATGGAATGAACTGCAAGGGAGTCACATTTGCAGACGGCATTATCCAAAGTCCTACTTTCGATGCGTCAGGGAAACGTAAGCCAGTCTTCTCTTCGTTATTTGAAGAACTTTCATGAAAGGAAATAGGGGGGAACTTATTTGTTCGCCGATGAGATATGGAGTCGGGGTATGGCAGATCTGGCTAAAAACATTCATGAAAAAACGCACAGCGGATGCTTCTGGTAACAGGATGCCTTTTGTACGATAAAAGAGCTACTGATTATTCATAGAGATGTACATTCAGTGGCCGATCTTATGAAATGTTTTCTAATTTCGAAATAATTTGGAGCCTGATCAGTCGTTATATTTGCGCTTAGTGGTTTCAGTAAACAGGGTGGATGGGTTAAGCATAAAGAAAGCCGCATATTCTTAACCCCTCTAAAAAGAGACCATACAGAGTCCAAAGAATTTTTTAATGCATGCAAACTATTTTGCACATTTAATGAGGAGCTGTGGTAAACGACCAGGTACGGTGTTAAATGAATGGACATTGACCAGTCTTAAATAATCTCATAATTAGAAACTTTTTTAAAACTTAATTATACCACTTCTTCGAACATAAAATAAAAGGAGACGTGATTCTCTATCAACCGACTTAAAGAAAGCCTATTTTACTTATGGTTTCAATAAGATATATTTGAATTTGCAAGACGGTCGAAAATCAACGGGAAAAATGCATACTACATAAGTAGTCATTTTTTGTCTAAAACAGTTTCTGCGGGAAATTGAAAAGCACTGTATTCAAATGCTGACGTCCTGCCGAGTCCGAAATATTATAGGATTATGCTGCAAGATAATGAGTATTACAACCGCGCCTAAGTTATCCTACCTAATCGAAAACGCATTTCAGAATTGCAGCCAACATTTCATGAGATTGGCCACTCACTGTAGTATGCATGGATGGCAGGCGTGAACAACGCCGACCACCAACGCCAGAGCTCAGACGATGGACAAAAGGCCCTTTTCATACGATAAATCATTAGGAATAAAGGCAGCGCATACTATTCACTAGATTAACTCTTCCTGTTTGTCTACGTTGCCAGACGAAACTTGGGTTTGGATAGGCTGCTATGAGCGTCCGTTTATCGTCGCGATTCTTAAGGAGATTTACTTGTCACTTTACAAGTTCTGTTCTCTAATTTCTTCCTCACGTGTGTATGTATTTACTAACAATTTATGAAAGCCTAACTTCTAAAGACGTTTAACTTATTCAGGATGAGGAAAGTAATCTCCGTAAATTTTGCCTTTTGTAGGCGTAACTATTCCGGTTTTCCGATTTTTGTAGTTGTTAGAGTTCATTAGAGATTCTGAGGGGGGCGATGAATATGCCTCTATTTTTGATGATGCAGCATTGTCCGTGATCATGACAATATTTTCTATGAACTAGGTGGTCAACTCATACAGAAAAAAGGCATGAATAAAAGTGCCTTAGCAAAGTACATAGCAAGAAATTTAGTTAAACAGCATGCACTCAAAAGATGCGGGTTTGGGAGAGCTTTGAATTTCCCTTGGTGATTTTTTCCACAGACTCTGACTACATATATATGGAAAATATGAATCAAGAAAAAACATTCAAGCAGTTGTGGTTTCAAAATGTTTCCGAAATGACTGTATTCTCCATCGGCCCGTGTTTGCCCTGAGGGTAATCCCCTCGCTAAAAAGCCCAGATCTCTTCCACTCTCCCAGTCAACAACGTGTGTAAATGGCATAGCGTGCAAGGACGACCCCGTTCCACGTCAGGTCGAATATCGAAAATATGGGGCAAATCCAGTGCAGTGCTGGCGCGATAGCAGGCTATCTTACAAGTGACCATTGTGCTGGTATTCTGCCTTATTCCATTCGTTGCCACAGAGGTCCGCCACAAACAGCATAGAGGGCTGCAGCGGAGCAATAAAGCGGCCTCCTGTTGCATGCGGGTTGTCAAGAGTACCACAAACGTGAGTATTCGGCCAGTGCGCAGGTCTGAACCCGACTCCGTTGCCTCTCGTCCCCCAGTCGAGTGCGCTGAAAGTGCTGAAAATGATAATAGCGATTGCTTTATAAAATGACGCAAAGACCAATGGAATGACGACTATAAACCGACATTTATTGGGTTAGCTTGCCAGTATTGCCGCGTAAACAGGTTTTTGAGCAAAAGCGTAGTGATGAAGCATTATCTCTGATATAATTTATTGTGAAAGGCCTCGGTCGGATGAGGAGACTGAACCACGGTATTATAAGCCAGCACTGATTCCTTAGTAAAAACAATGACTACAAAACGAATACAATGGCAACGGCCTTCCGTCCTGTCAAATGTCATCGTAGCTGAACCTGTTCTTAAATATATTTTAATGACCATGAGAAATTTCGAGATGAAATTTTAGAATACCCAATGTCCTTTAGAAGTATGTAGACTTTTGGGGGGAAAGATGCAATGTGACATTTTCAACTGCGTAACAAAATCGAAATATCACGTACAAGCAGGGTAATTGTGCCAAAATAACGCCTAGGTAGAAAACTTGATAAATACAGATTGGCATAATAAACCTGAACGCACAGTGGACTGATGACTAGTCTTACCTTCTTCGCAGTATTGTCATTGGCCATCAGTCTGTTGCCAAATGTTCTGCCCAGGTCTCATTTGGACGAGCGTGTTCGGCTCAGGCACCGACGGGACAGCACCTCAGCAGTATTAGCAGAGGACACCGATGGGGACTCGATTGTGATCTCAAAGGCTTGCAGCGTCTGTTCAACGAAGACAAGGTTGCGTAAATTAACTACAATTCCTGGTAGGTGGTATTAAGCCTCGCACCACCATGGCCACAGATTTTCATCAGCGTATCTCTTATTGAGCTGTCATCTCCTCCTCTCTGTTTTTTTTTTAAAATACGTCAATTCATTCTCATCACTCCTAAGCCTATACCTTTGGGTGCAATGGACGTAGCCTTTGATGTGATCCAGTTAATGCGAGCCGGCATCCACGTGCGCTGCTTCCCTTCCAACTCTTATGCAATGGCGTTAGTAAAAATGTAATGCCATAAGACATCGTCTATTCGTTTTCTCCAAGTTATTGCCTTTTGAGGTCATCCACTTGTATTTTACATTTGAACCTTGGTGAACACGTAACTAGGCAAGGTTCTGCAGATCTGGCTGAATTATTAGGCCTGGAATTGAGAGTCTGGGGAGGGCCTCAGTCAGTTATTTTTGTGTGCGGCCAATATGACGGATGTTTGCGGTGGAATGCGAGAGGTCGTCCAAATGGCACGTTTAAAGAGGGCAGTCCAAAGTTTGCGTGAAAATAAACAAAATTGTGGCCTCATCCGTTACCATATGAAATGAGGTA